AACAAGGCCCTGATGTTGGGAAAGTGTGAAGGCAAGAGGAGGAGGGGACGACAGAGGACGAGATGGTTGGACAGTGTCATCGAAGGAACCAACATGAATTTGACCCAACTCCGGGAGGCAATGGAAGACAGGAGGGCCTGGCATACTCTGGTCCATGCGGTCACGAAGAGTCGGACATGACTTAACGACTAAAGAACAATATCATTATTATAATATTGTCTATTGTAATGGTTTTAATGTTTTTAAAGTTTTAATATTGTTGTACGCTGCTCAGAGACCATTGGTAAAGACACGGTTAAAATATCTGGTAAATAAATAAATAAATTTGTGCGGACTAATATTTATTTATTTTATTTATTTTATTAGACACGGCTAAAATATCTGGTAAATAAATAAATAAATGTGTGGACTAATAGACACATATGTGTGGACTAATAGACACATATGACTGATCTGTACATATGAAGACTTTGCAAGTATATATAATAGACACATATAGAGAGAAAAGCTGTCCGTGTCATGACTGACCTGTACATATGAAGACTTTGCAAGTATATAGAAGTAAATAACCTTGTAAGTGAGGGAGCAAAAAGATGAATGATCCAGCGAAGAATGATTGTGACCAGTCACCTCTTGGATATGGTTAAGGGTCAGTTGAAAATGGAAGATGAAAGTTTGGCAGATGGTATTGTTATATCCCAGAGGAACACTGAATGAGAGCAGTCTTATTCAGTTATAAGGATACAGTGTAACTTTTTATTGCAGGTTTACCTTGTTTAATGTATCTCTCATGGTCCTAAGCCAGTGGTGGCAAACCTTTTTGGGCTCAGGTGCCCAAACTGGGGTGGGGGGGACATCAGCGGGTGGTGTAATGCCGTGGCAGCAGAACTTACAGTGGCAGCGGTGGAACCGGAAGTGGCGGCAGAAGGGGGAATCCTGGCACAGAGGTGCCTCAAGACCCCACTCGGGATCCGCTGCCAGGACCAGCTGCTCCGGATCCACCTGCCGAAGCGCTAGCACCGCAGCTGCAGCCACCTTCTCGAGTTTGGCTGCACCAGGGGTGGGGGGAGTAGCGATCCGGCGACTTATGGCTTGCGTGCCGGCAAAAAAGGGCAAGGTGTTGGAACGTGTGGCGTGCCAAAGGTTTGCCATTGCTGTGACCTAAGCATTTAGTTTCCTGGTATAAAGGAACTGGGGAATCACTTTCTCTCAGGAGAGGCTGCCCAGTGTAGCTCTGCATAATTCACTTCTATGACCTGGCCTCTTTCCAGTGGGAATGGTGAAGCATTAACTGTTTCGTTTCTCTAATTTCCCATCTTGATAATGTATATATCTACTAGTTAGTTGCTTGTATTATTAAGTTTTAATAATTATATCATCCTATTGTTTTTTATCATTTTTTGTAAGCTGCCCCGAGTAGACGTTGTCTAGAGGGGCGGGGTATAAATCTAAATAAGGCCAAAAAAAAAAGTAAAAGAAGCATTCAGAAGGACATACAGTAAAACTGGGCATTTTGCAAGCTGGAAAAACTCTTGCATTTTGCTATGTGTACTTTTAATTCATACTAGACCTGGGTGCTTCGTATTCATATCCAGAGAATACAAAGCACAGCACCACAGGTGTGACAGCAGTCCATTCCCACCTCCCAGAACCAGCCCAGTTCAGTCACTGGGCTCCACGCAGTGCGTGCATCTGTCAGCATCGTCCTTGTGCCAATTGCAGTAGTAGTCCAGCCTGACTCTCCCAGAGCCAGCAGCTGAGTGGGGGGACTTGTCTTCCCACCTTCTCGCTGGAGTGGTTAGCTCTGAGGAGAGGTGGGGGAAGCACTGGCTGGACTGCTTCCTTGATTGGCGCAATGATGACAATGCTGATGGTCCTGAGCACCGTCTGGAACCTGATGAGTGGAGCGGGCAGGTTCTGCTGGTGGGAATGGACCACGATGGCACCTGTGATGCCTCGGTTTATATTTATATCCCCTGGACACGACTATGAAACGCCTGGGTCTAGTTCATACATAATGATGACCTATGCTTAAGCACTACAAGAATGAGCCTTAGGAAGTCTTAAGTAAAACATCAGCAACACCCTTTCTCTTCTTCAACCTACTTGGGAGGAGGACTTCTGCTTGATTTAATTTCACTTTGTTCAAAACAAACAAACAAGCTCAATTTTTTGAAATATGTGAATCTCTGATTAAAACAGATCTTAATCAGTTTCTAAACAAACTAGCTTAAAACCATGAGTTCAGATTCTGGTGGTTTCACAAAATGTTACTATAAGCAAATATTTAAATCAGGATTCCTGGGTCAATAGTGATTTGACCATGGTTTTAAACTAGGATTCCTGTTTTGAATATTAAACCAAGATGCTTAGGAAATGAAATTGCAGTTTACAGAGATGGTTTTACCAGCTCTGTATGAGGAAAAGGAGAGGGAGAGAAATGGGTAAGCTGGTTGCTTTGGTTGTACTTAGAGGCATATCCGTGTAATGTTACCTATGGATTAGTGTTCACTGCATAGATTGTGTCTCTATCTACAATTTCCTTTTGTTTTTATTTGCTGTTGCATCACTTTAATCAAATCTTAATCTAGGCAACCGCAAAATGTGCATTAGCTACTGGAAGGCTTAAAATGTGGTTTCATGGCCTTGGTCCTTAAAAAGTGCCTGTAAAAGCTGAGAAGATAGAAGTGATGCTTTTTGTTTCAACCATAAACAGTGATCTGTATATGTCTCCAATTGTATGATTCTGCCATGAGGTGTCACTGTAGGAACCTGCAATTCTAGAAGGGAAGTATAGCAAATGTACCCATTCTACAATGCTCGGGCCTCCTTCTTCATAAAAGATCAATAGAGAGTAAAAAGTTACGTTGTGTGGCATGGTGTCTTCATTTAGCTCTTACGTTTGCCTTGTGCAGGACCTGCTTGCATTGGGCCTGCAAACGGAATCATGCTCAGGTGGTATCATACCTGCTCGAAGCTGGTGCTGATAAGGACATTCTCACAGTTAAAGAAGAAAGGCCAGACCAGCTGACATCAAAGAGGGAAATAAGGAAGATGCTGGGAGGTAAAATGAATAAGTAACATCATTTGTAATGTCAGAAATATTTGAATTTCAGTGGGAATCTCGGAATAATTCAGGGAAAGGGCAAAGCATTGTGATCTCACTGTCCTGCAACTTTTCCCCCCCAGCCTTTTTGACTCAAAATCTGTAGTTATCAGTGTTAATTACTTTGTAATAAGGTAGTTAGTATCCATCATATATGTTTTGCTAGGTCTTGACTTATTAAAAATATGGTCCCATGTTAACCTTGTGTGATGTTATGCAGTTACATATTAACATATTAACAAATTATAATTACCGTATTTGCTGGCGTTCAAGACGATTTTTTGGCCCTGAAAAATATGCCTCCAAGTGGGAGGGTTGTCTTGTACGCCGGGTGCATGTCCAGCAAACCCTCCCTCTCTCCCAGCAAAGTCACTTACCTGGTAGTAAGACTGAATAGAGCCCCGCCCCTAGCCTGGGAACAGCCTGACTCTAGCGCCGAACAGCTGACAGTCGGGAACAGCAGAGAGGCAGCAGCCATTTTGAGATGCGACCACATGGCTGCTGCCTCTTAAATTGGCTGACGCCTCTCCAAAATGGCTGCCGGCTCTCTGCTGTTCCTTCTTCCAGCAAACCCTGGCTCTCTCCGAAAAGGAACCAAAAGGGGCAAAAGGAACTCTCCCCATGATGCAGCCAAAGCAGAATCACGCATGCGGAAGAGGGGGTAGTCTTATACAGCAAGTATATAACAAACTACATTCTGAGTGGGAATGTTGGGGGGGGTCGTCTTATACACCCAGTCGCCTTATACACCGGCAAATACGGTAACATATTAATACATGTGTCAATATGTTATAATTAACATATTAACAAGTATTAACGTATAATATTTCAATAACACTTTCTAATAGCTCAATCTTATTATAGCTTTTGTAGTTACATGGTCAATTATCACTTCATTTTAATCTATTCATATTAATACTAACCTGTTAAGGCAGAGTCTTTGTTCCCAACCCTCAAGTTATTAAAAAAAAGAAGAAGCTTAGAATCACCTTTCTTTAATTAACATTTTCCTTTCTTCTTTCTTGTTCTGCAGTGAAAGATGATGATGAGCTTCTGGATGTGAAGAAAGATACTGCCCTGCCCATTGTCCCCAATTATTTGGCTCACCCACCTTTCCCATATGTTTATAACTCCATGAGTAGCAGCACTACCAGCACCTCAGCTTCGTCTTTGAATGGAAGACTTTCCCCTACTTTGGAGCAGCACAATGAAGACTGTCCAGTTTCTTTACCTCACATTCAGACACTTGGCAATGCCATGGGACAACAAGACAGATCTTCCCCGGTAGGGTCCAGTGGGGACACAGCCAGGGGAATGGCTGTAGAGTGCACTGAGCCCATCGTCCAAAATGGCCATGTTCGCCAGATGCCTGTTCCTCCAAGCACGACAATCTCCTCCCCAGCTGCATCTAAACAGCCTGAAACTCAGCAACCCAATGGCTCCTGTGCAGGACCTGTTCCAACCTTTCAACCCTTTTTCTTCACAGGAGCGTTCCCCTTTACAAATATGCAAGGTAACCTCAAACAGCTGAAGCTGTGTGCTTTCTACGTGAGGTAGGGTTGTGTTCCAGTGAAAATGAGGAAACCTAAATAAGATGGATTGTGCTTGGGTTCTGTCAGAAACTGGTCTTTGGCATAACTAATTCATTATTACTAAATTAACATAATACAGTAGGAACCTTCCCCCCCCCATCTGCAGGATCAGTATCTGCTGATTCATTTATCTGCTGCCTAAAAATGCTGAATAAAAAAATATCAGGAATACGCACTGTATTTATACATTTTTCCAAGGTATATTTTCCAGAACTGGTCACTAGAGGGAGCCAGAGATGATGCAGTATGTATAGTGTTTCATTCTTTAGCATTTTTTGGAACCCATACCCAGCAAATACTATTGTATCTTCCTTGTTGTAAGTGGGTTCCCCCCCCTTCCTCTGCAAGTATTCTTGATAAAAGTTAGTAGTGGGTTTGTTTCAGGATATATATTTATAATGCCTTTGATCCCATTTCATGAGTAAAATTGATTTAATTTCCCTGCATCTTTCTATACTTTCCCCTACTTAAAAATCGACCTCTGAGGATTGTGGAGCTCCTCTTGAATAGAATGGCAAACGGTTCCACATTGGATGAAAAGAAGAGGGATTGCTGTCAATCCTACCCCATAAAATGTCATTTTCTTTCATTCTTTTTGGTGCCAACTCAAGGTTGGTTTTGACATTTAGAAAGACTGTATAAGAGTAAAGTTCAACAGAAACCAGTTAAAATCCAATGGAATAACAGTAAAGCAAGAAAACAACAAAGGCAGTGAAAACATTCTGAAAAGCCTTAGCGGAAAAAATCCTAACTGAAATAACACCGAGAAGGCCTTTTTAAAATCTAGGCACAAATATGAAGTCCTGCTTCCATGCTGTGGGCACTGATTTTTATTTATTATTACGTCTTCATATCAGACTGATGTGCCCCTAGTATGAACTCCTTATTGACCTTCCTTATTGACTCCTTAAAACACAAAGTAGCCATACACTTATTAAAAATAATTTTGCTCCCCCTCTAAATCAAAGATTCCCACAGCAGCAGTCATTCATTGGTGGTGGTGTTCCCTCAGGTGGTTAATGCCAGTGGGTATTCCTTGCTCTTGCCCAAAACAGACTTAGAACAGTCCTAAATTCTATCCGGGTCATTCAGCTAAGGACTGAATTGACCCTAGAACAATAGAACATAACTGTTACAATTCTACCTTCCAGTACAACTTTCACGAGTCTTGGATTGCAGTAGCCTTGGTCTGGGAGTCTCCTTGCTATGCTCTTAGTGAGAGTAAACATGGAAAATGTTTGAAACTCAGTGAATGCCTGAATCTAACTGGGAGACCCAAGTACTGTACAGCAGACCCATTAAATTAATGGGATTTTCATAAGTGTTGACTCACTGTTCAGCAGGTGATTCAGTGGCTCTGCTCTAGTTAGGACTAGCCATTGGATTTTGGTCTTAATGTCTTTATTACTAACTCTCCTAATAGGCTTTAATGTCTTTACTACTAACTATATTAATAGTCTGAATTCCTGCATTTGTGTCTGGTTTTTTTTAAATTAGAACTGGTGCTCAAGGTCAGAGTTCAAAACCGTACACTGAAAGAGAATGATTTCATTGAAATTGAACTGGACCGACAAGAGCTGACGTACAGAGAACTGCTGAGAGTGAGCTGCTGTGAATTGGGGGTTAACCCAGAACATGTGGAAAAAATACGGAAGCTTCCAAATACAGTGTTAAGGAAGGTAAGGTCCTTCAAATGGAACCCATTTCTGTTGATAGTGGTTATCCCAGGCCTTCAGAATTTATGACCAGCCGCTGTGTGTTTATGGCTTGCCTGACGTTCCACAACTTGTTTTAGAAGTCCAAAGGAGAAAAACAAGGACCAGATGTTTGAGGCAAACGAAACCTAGCCCAGATTCTGCTGGCTTCTCTTCCTGCAGTGCTTATTTACTTCCGAGTAGCTGTTCCTAGAATTGCAACTGCTAGACATTGATGTAATTACTGGATACTATATTTGCAAACCACAAATGATGACATTTGGCCACTGAAAGGGTAACTAATATTGCACATGATTAGTTACTGCTGCTTCAGGAGACAAACCAGTATGTGTGGTATCTCACTGTCTGTTTTTTGCACAAAAACGGAGCAGTGAAATTTGAAGGGAACAGATTTTTCACAGGTCATATATCTGTATTGTTTTGTATGGTCTACACTCTGTCTGCTGGAGCCTTATAAGGGATGGAGCACTTCCTTTGGGAAGGAGCTCAAGCATCAACAGAGAAAAGCCTGTTTTATGTACTAACGCACCTAGCTTCCTGGGGTGCTGGGCTTAGAAACCTGAAATGATCCTTCCAGCATTTGACCACAGATGTTTGAGCCGATTTTTATTGGGCCATGTACATAATCTCTGTGCCTTTGGCTTTCTAACTAGTTGTCAGTAACTACAGCAACAGGGAAGAGTCATCTTAACCTATCATTAATCACCAGCCAGTTATTGGCTGCCTTGGGTTCTTCCTCTTGGTGCCCCAAATCCCTGACCACCCACTTCTTTTTTAGGTTTGCATTTTGAGTCTCCCATCCCCACTCCTACCATAAGCTTTGGGGTAAAGGAGGTGATTGTTTTCTGGTGTTGTGTTTGCAGTTCACCTTAATTTCAGTTCATCATAAAATCTGACCATATTCATCATTCCTTTTTCCACCTTTTTTGTAATCTGGTGAATGGTAAATGTCCAAGGCAGATCCCTGTGAAATGTCATTTAGCTCCTCTAATTTGAATGGCAACATTTCACTAATTGCTGTTCTGGCTAAAACCCACTGCATGCTGGAACACCCTGAGGGTGATTTTGCAGACAAAAGTACACCTACCTTATGGCAGCATGCTTCTCTTGTGTACTGGGAAGACTATCACATGAACATCACAAAAAGCTATGCTAGGACTGAGGTATTTTATCTACTTGGGTCCCTTTTCTGGAGGAGTTTCCCTGCCAATGGAAGGGAAAAACTAGGCTGATTGTTATTTTTGTTCTTTAAAATGTTGAACACTAATAATCAGACTCCATTCCTTGGATAAATATTTATTTTTAAAATATTGAAAACCCTCAAAGTGTCTTGAGAAATATCAGAGCAGAAGCCCTATCTTCCTCAAGCTGTTGTTTGTTGGTGCTGTAGTTCTCAAACAATCATCATACCACTGTCGGTGGGACTATCCTGTCATAAGTATTTTGCACATACCCTCAGCTTCTGTTAATGTTGAAGACCTGTATGAATTTTTAATATTTAAAGTCCTTAAACATTCCTTTTTAAAGAAACAGCGGTATCCAGACAAATGTGTCAGATGTCTCCATGCTGTGGATTATCTTTACCCATTGCTCATCCTGCTGGAATGAGCAGGTATTTGCTATACAAGTCGTACCAGGACAAGATGTTCCTAGAGTATTCCCTAGTTATGCTGACCTCCTCTGCAAATCCCTGAAGCATCTAGTTTGTTTCAGCTGGCAGAACTAATTCAATTCAGTGCTGGTCGATTAGGCTTCACCTTATCATTCTTGAAGTCCATACCAATTTCATATCTTGTTTCTTTTGATGACACCATAGCCTATCATGCAGACCTTGAAATCTCTGGCCCAAATCCCTCTGCGCACACAGGACAGCTGATGGGCACATTAACGGGTTTCTTGATCGGCGTTGTGTCTTCCCAACAGCTGGATGAAGGAGCATCTGGATCTACTGTGCCTTTTTGTCTGTGTGATTCTTTGTTTCCCCTTATCTAGATTGTGATTCAAAATCTATGATTGTTTATTCAGCATGCAACCTGTTAGACATTTAAGCTTGGATGTAATTTTTATTTTCTGTGTGAAGCAAAGTTCATTCCAAATCCAACATTGATTCCAAATTGTACACATTGGAGATCAAGCTATGGCTAAGAGGTCGGTGGAGATTATTCCTTGCTATGTACCAAGAATTGCATAATTGAAGGAGGCCCTACGTGTTCTCTTTTTTAAAATTTTATTTTATTTTTAAAAAACTAGGGATAAGGTAAGGAATACAAAAAGTAGAGGGGGATGTATGGAAAAAGAGAGAGAGGAGGAATGAGAACATAAAATGTACAGTCATCCAATCTGTTTGTTCACGTTGCGATATCAAGTCCACTTTTTGCCTTTCTACCATTGGATTGCCCTCCA